TCCCTCCCGCCAGCCCAGTCCCTGAAGCACTGGGGAGACTGGGAGGAGACCCCGAAGGGAAGGGACAGGGGACGTGCCACATGTGCACGATGCACAGGGAAGGTTGTTCCTGGTGGCTGTGGGGGAGCTGGAGGCTGGGGGACACCTGGGACAGCATTGCCACCATGGGGTCCCCGCTGCCTGTGGGGCTGGGGCTTGGGATGGAGCCTGGAATGGGGCTTGGGATGGGTTTTGGGGATCGGGATGGGGGTCGGGCAGTGCCTGGAGCAAACTGCTCCCAGCCCCAGAGAGATGCTGGTGGCCACAGTCTGGCAACCAGAGGGGCAGCCAGGGAGCCCAGGGCCACCACCCCAGCCCCAATAACACTTGGAATCCCCCTTCCCCCGGAGCCCCGGGAATGGCCCCTGGATCCTCCCAGACAGGCAGAAAGGGAGGAGAGGCAGCGAGACCCTGAGGGTTGGGGTCCCCCCACATCACCCCCATCCCCCCCGTGCCCCACAGAGCACTTGTGTGTGTTCCCCCCTCCTCTGCCCTGCCAAACCCCCTCAGCTGCTTGTCCTGCCCCTTCACATCCCAGTGCCCCCATCCCAGTGCCCCCATCCCGCTGCTCCCACCCTGGGGTCCCAATCCCAGTGTCCCCACCCTGGGATCCCCATCCCGGGGGTCCCTACCCCAATGTCCTCATCCCGGGGTCCCCAACCCGGGCTTCCCATCCCATTGTCCCCATCCCGGTGTCCCCATCCCAAAGTCTCCACCCTGTGTTTCCCATCCCAGTGTCCCCATCCCGGTGTCCCCATCCCAGGAGCTCCATCCCCGTTCCTGCCCCAGCCAGGCCGTGGTGCCACGCTCACCCCACGGGCGGCCGCGTTTTGGTGGCGGCGGCGGCGGTGGAGCCATTCCCTGGGATGATGAAAACCAGGAGAGTTTTCCCCGGGGCGAAGGAGTTCCCTGCACCCTCCGCCCGGCCGGGCGCTTGGCAGGCTCGCCGGGAGGTGTGGGCACGCCGGGATCGCGGCGCTGCCGGCCCGGTCCCGGCTCTGGAGAGGCACCGGAGCCTTTTCCCGTGGGATTCGGGGCAGGGGGGGCTTCCACCGAGGGTCCCCGCGCGGTTGTGGCCGCCCCCAGCCAGGCCCCGGGGGTTTGGCTGTGGAAATGGGGACACGACGCGCCGGTGATTAAGTGGCTCCACTGGTGTTGTCACCCGGCAGTCCCGGGGTTTCTCGGCAGCCTCGGGGGGGACACGGGGGACGGGGAGGGTTGGACACCCACGGCTGAGCAGGGATGGGGTAGCCCAGCACCTCCCGGTCCCTTTGGGGGTGCCCCAAATCCCATTTGGGTCGTGGTGGGTCCTGCAACGATCATCCCACTCCCTCCTGCCGCGGGTCCAGCTCCGGCCCCAAAACTTGTCCCCTGTGTCCGTCCCCGTCCCATTTATCCCACGGCACAGGGCTGAGCCACAACGGGGGGGCACTGAGCCCCCCACGGGGACAGGTGACACCTCTGGGGGGCAGGAGCAGCGGTCACCTCGGTGTGACACCCCCGGAGTGGGGAGACAGACGGGGGGACCCCGGGAGGGGTGGCAGGAGGAAGGTGGGGCACGTCTGTGTGTCACCCCCGGGCGGGAGGACAGGAGGGGTGCCCGGGGGTCCCCGGGGGTGGCGGGGGGGTGGCAGGAGGAGGCGGCCACGGGCGCGGGAGGGAGGCGGTTGTTTCTTTCTTCTTTAATTACCCCCCTGTTTGCGGTGTCTGCTGCGAACTTCCCGTCCCCTCCCTCCGCTTTCATCCGCCGGATCCTGGGACCGGAGCCGGCTCCTGTCAAGCGGCGGGGCTGGGGCTCTGCCTCCAAGGGTTAAAATCACCGGGGCCGGGGGTGGAGCTGGGCGGGGGGGCGGAGGGAAGAGCCGGCGGCCGGGCTGGGACCCGGCCATTCCTGCTCGCCCGGCCCAGTGGGTGCCCCGTCCCTGGGGAGCCGCGCGGGTCCCTCGGGGTCCCCTCGGGAAGCAGCGCCCGCGCCACGCCGATGAGGACGGACCCACCGGGACCTCGCTGCCGCCGCTAGACCCGTAGGTACCCCCGGGACCGCGGGGGATCCCTGACGGGACCCTCCGGGAGGGTCCCGTCTGCCCCTGACCGACGGCTGGGAACGGGCCGCCCGCTCCGGCCCCGGCAAGTCTCTACTCGCCGAAACGCCGCGTCCAGTGGCCACCGAGCCCCGGGGCTGCCGGCCCCGCCGCCTCCCGGGACGCCCCGATGTGTCCCCCCCCACCCCAATTTACAGCGCGAAGGCCCCTCCCGCGGGGCTGAGACCCCTTCCCGTGGGATTGAAACCCCTTCCCGCGGGATTGAAACCCCTTCCCGCGGGACTGAGACCCCTTCCCGTGGGATTGAAACCCCTTCCCGCGGGATTGAAACCCCTTCCCG